TTTTTCAGAAAATGCTGCTCATTTGATTAAAAAGTGATGTCTAGTTTTTGGGGCACTTTCACTGCAAATGTACTCGGCACATGTACCGTAAATGCTACGTTCTATAAACCGCAGTAAGAACGAAAGAGCGTATTGACCGCGTCCATTCGCGTCCATTCGCGTCCATTCCGCGTACAGTTTGCGTTCACCGCACGCGGTAAAGACGCGAAACAAACGCGTTCGCATGCTGCAATGATTTCAGGCGGTACTGTAACACCAACAGTATAAGACGGCTAATATTGTAGTTTTGCATGCGCGGCTCTCAAAATTGATTTAAGTTACCCAAACGAAACATTTTGTCACTCTTCATACATTTCTTCATGACATTTCTTCATACACTCTTCATGACTAACCAGAATACCTCTCTGTCTTTAATGATTGGCTTTTCAACAACGTTTTTTTCAATTTGGAGTATACGTAAGTATTATTTACCTTAGTCGTTACTGCAGAAGAGAACAAGACTGACTGTTTCTTTGCTATCTTACTGGAGTGTTCAGACACAATCTCATCCAAAGGGCGATCACCAACAATCTAGATGTCATCAAAACAAAGATTTCATAAAAATATATAACAACTTTTAAGACTTGGACACAAAGTGCCACAATAGTGTAGCAACTTTGTGTATTTTCTAAAGCACCATTGACAATAATGGTGCAACTCCTCAGTTGGTAGCAGTGTTTTTGGTGCCTTTTATCACAGAAATCTTAAAACATTGTACATGTACACACCAAATTATTAAGGAATGACTCATTTTCCATTTTCTTCTTTCTCTTTTCGTCAATCTCATTTATTGCTACTTGTTTCCTCCTTAAATCAGCTGCCTTCTCGTCCTCCTCAATCTGAGATAAAACGACTGCTTCTTCTCTTCCCTTCAATACAAACAAACTTCTGTAAGTAATAATAATTTATTCATTTGGGTGCACAGAGCATGGATCTAATGGAACATTGAGTAGTTATGAAAGAATGGTTGGGTGGTACTTGCCCTCTATCAGGACAAGGATTTAAAAAATTGCATTGCACATTATTAGTATATGGCATTGAGTGATCAAAGTTTGTCCAATTCCACAGTCATACTCACTAGTTTGACATTGTTCTTCCTAATCAAAGCTTCATTTTCTTTCTTGTACTTCTCAATGGCTTTCTTTGTCTCGTCTACATCAACACCATTAGCCAAGTTCCATACTATATGTACAGCTTTGTTTTAGTAAATATACTAAGATATATTTCATTAAAACCCTTCATCGTAAAATGTATGGCAAAAGTGACTTGGGTCACTTAGAAAAGAGTTACTCTTCATGTAAACTACCTTCCTTCTCATTCTCTTCCTATTTTTTTTCTATTCTCTTTCATATATCTCCTTTCTATTCTCTTCCTATACTTTTTATTCTTCTAAGGTTTCTGTTATCTAACTACGATCAGTGCTAAGATGGATCACTCAATTAATTCTTGGTCACCTTGCCTTGCCCTCCCTCTCCCCCACTATTCACTATTTACCACTCTTTTCATTGCTTTGCACTGATCTAGACAGCAGTTGTGACAGGGAAATTGGGCAATACACTTCCGTCAATCAAATAAATTGTTAGGTACTTTTCTATTCCCTGATTGGCAGCAGTGTATTGCCCTATTTCCCAGGCTCCTCAGGTTTTCAATTTACATCTTTACCCCTAAAACAGGATTGATTTTGGGTTCTTGTGAATCCAGTTTTAAATTAATAGTCCACAACTGTTAACTACAATGCAGGAGGGCTTCATAATAATTGTGTATGTACACTTATGTGGCATTTATATGCAGACCAGTGCCCAACTGAGCCAACCTGGTGTCTTTTCCCAAGATTTTCAAGTGTCTCTTAATACCTTATAGCTTTCAAATTCCTCTACACACAACCCCTAGGTTTTCCATCTATTGTCAATCATTTCTCCAGGATTCCTAAGGCCCCAAACAAAGGTGTGGGGAAGGGGGAAGAGGATGAAGCAACTGAAATGCAACGGGCTAAAGGCTATGACAATCAGATACTGACCAATAGTTTCCACATCTTCCAGATAATCGTTGTAGCTTCTTAGAGGATCTGGCAAAGCTTGGAAGTCTTCTTCACGTTTATTATATCTGGGAATATGAACATTGTGGTAGCCAAACAAATTTATACTTTTATTCGAGTCAATCATCTTGCAACATTTATGATTAAGTATCAATAATTAAAACAAGGTAATACAGTATATATGGCGCTGATGGCAAGGATTAATATTGCTGATACCAAGAAGTGCGAGAAGCACCAGGCCACATCTTGACATTGTAACTAGGCATGAAAAAAGCTGAGTTGTGCTTCTTAAATATTAAATTACCTATACCTTAATTAAGCTCATTTATGCTTGCTCCAAATATATGCTGCTTCAAATATTTATTTTCTATTTTGATCTATTATTTAATTACAAAAAATGTCATTAACTCACATTTTAATGATTTTCTTTCTGATATCAACTTCCTTTTCAACAATCAGATCTTCAAACTGCTGGGCTCTAAAATCACTACGCCGTAAGGGTGTGCTACATTCTGGGCAAGCAGCTGATGGTCTTGTGAAAAGTAAATCTACACATGTGTCGCATCTAAAGACAAGTGAAACCTTTGTTCAGATTTTGTTGACACACAGTTTTACCTCTACTTCATGATTGGTTTAATATTGTCTACAATGTAATGTGATAATATGATGATGATGATGATAATTCATGACTCTATCATTGCTAAGGAGTCACTTTTAATTAGTGCTTTTAAGAACTAAACATTCTATTTACAAACCCTGGGTGCCACCAAACAGGGTATGGTTTTCAGTGATTCTACTTTGGAGCAGGGTTTATAAAATCGCGCTCACTCCGGAACAGGATATATGAAATCACACTCTCTCCTCAATCTCTGGAACAGGGTATCTATTTTCGCAATACCAGAACAGGGTATGGTTTTCAGAGATCTTGATCTGGAACAGGGTATGAATTTCAGCTATTTTACTCTGGAACAGCGTCAGGGTTCTGAGGGCTCAGCGGCACATCTCTACCCTAAACGGCCAAGAGTATCCCCCTCCGGTTACAAACTCATCTCATAGACAAGTTTAATCATTTGCACTCTAATGAATGGTTCCTACTGAAGATGATGAACCAACACTTTATGATTGTCATCACAAACGTTTGCTGTCTATTTCAAATTCCACCTATGCATACATATTTATTGGCAGATTTCATACTCACAGTTTATGCCCACATACATTAACCATTAACTTCAGTTTAGGGTTTCGATATTTGGTGGTCTTACATCGTGGACATATCTGATCTTCCATGGTCAAGCCAGCAATACCTTCACACTTAACAATAATTAAAACCACTATAATATCGAACGTGACTACAAAAATAAACTATCATCTAACCACAATCTTAAGGTGGTCATTCTATTTTTATTCGCTCATGTTTTAAACGAGAAAAAATATAAAAAATTCGTAATCTTCCACACCATCTCTCATCAGGAGCATTGTATGATTCTAAGAAAAACCGCGGGCTCATGTTCATATAACAAGTATTTTGATTGGACAATATTTTCTTACGAGCATTCTGATTGGCTTACTCTATCAAGTTTACATTCAACACATGCATGACATCCCCACACGTTTGCCTAGTTGCCCAAAGAGACATACATTTTCAAAGCGATATTTCATGTTTTTATAACAAAAAATGTAGTGTTTTTGTCTAAAATTTCGGTCCTGGGAACTACTCCGCGACTTCATAATGGCCGACATTACCAGCGATATGGTGAATAGTTTTTTTAATCTAAGTAAACCCATCGCCAAGCAGCCAAAAGTGGTAGTGAACGTGCGAGGGCCTCCTCCATCGCCGGATGATTCGTATAAACCAGAGTTTAAATTACAGAAGAAAACCCGACCCAAAAGGTAAGGAAAGTAAGCCATAATAATAATGATTAAAAATAATATAAATATTTACAATAATTGTAAACCACGTTATTATGCTTCCTTGTTTATTGCTTGGAAACCAACCAATCGAACAGACAGTCTTTATTTATTCATTTGACCTCGGCTAAGGTCAATAGAACTTGACATTTTAAGGTTTCGAGTTTCAATGAAGTTGATTTTTGGTCTTATCAACTTTAACTTTGGAATTTGGATATTTGAACATTTCATTTCATTTCGGATAAGAAACCAATAAGGTATAAGCTTATAAAGATTTTATTTTACATTTTTTTAAAAATTATATGCTAATATAACATGTTGTAAAAGTTAAGATTTGTTTTACTGAGAAAAAAACCTTAAACCTCATAGAGAACCAACGAGCAACTTTACTCCCTTACAACACTATTTCCGACTGACATGTGGCTCAGCCAGAGATAGAACCAGAGACCCCATGCCAGGTGTGAACTACACATCCAGAGAGATAGAGCTGTATTGTGTGTGCAGCACATCCCTCCCATGTTTGTTTACTCTGTCATATTTTTACACTCAAGTTGTCCAGATCAGTGCAACACATCCTATATTTTGCTTTTTTTGGGAGGCACGGGTGGCATAGTAGTGATAGAGCTCGCCTCTCACCAATAAGTGAGTATAGTAGAGTTTTTTGTTGGTTCTCTCCTGTGCTTTGAGGTTTTCCCGGGTTCTCCAGTTATCCTCCCTCTGTAAAAATCAACTTCTAAATTCCAATTGGAATCCAGTAGAATCCACTGATAATCCCATATATATTTTTTCATACTAATATCCCATTATTCATTGGAATTCAAACTCTACAAGGACTTAAATGTATAAAAAATCTTACCGTAAGTGGTAATAATTATTGTATAAAAATCTTGATTATATTTGACTTTATTCCACAAGTCCAAATAGTGAAGCAAGATGGAACTCCATTGCTGAAGAAGATGGATTTCTAAATGGTGACAGCTTGAGTGCACTAGACTTGACCCCCCCTGAAGAGCTCGCCCCTACTGATCCAGATGCGCCTGTTCCTGCGGCATTCAAAGGAGAAGATGAAGCACACATATTTGAGAACTATTCCTTTGATCATGAATATTCACCAGATCTTCCTATCACTCAGTATCATCAAGACATTATTGATACTGTAGAGAGCAACTCTGTTTGCGTCATCCATGGTAAGTGTTTACAAACTTGTGGGTGGTGTGGACTGATACAGCATCACAAGCGTTATTATCAGCATAGTGATCATGATCATTAGCAGTAGCTGCAACAACAGCAGCATCAATGTCATCAACAGCATAAATGCATCATTATCTACATCAGAAAAAGCATTTTTATCAGCAGCATTTTGATCATAATCATTAGCAGCAGCAACAACAGCAGCAGCAGCAGTAGCAACATGCTGAATGACCAGCATGATGATTTATCTTACAGTATCTTCTGGTTCTTGACATACTCCTTATCAGATAGCTTATCTTCCCAGGGTGGTAACAATCAATTATTGTAACATACTATCATATCAACGTCATCAACAACATAAGCATCATCGTTGTCAGAATAAGCATTATCATTATCATTAGAATAAGCATTATCATCATCATCGTTAGAATAAGCATTATCATTATTAGAATAAGAATTATCATCAGTATAAACATCATGATAAGCACCAGCGTAAGCAACATCACTATTAATAACTCATATCTTAGCTCACTATTAATCAGATAGTTTCTTTGTTGTAAGGGCCTACTGGAAGTGGAAAAACAACACAAGTTCCCCAATACCTACTCATGTCTTAGCTCCCTATTAATCAGATAGTTTCTTCCTTGTAAGGGCCTACTGGAAGTGGAAAAATGACACAAGTTCCCCAATACCTACTCATGTCTTAGCTCACTATTAATCAGATAGTTTCTTCCTTGTAAGGGCCTACTGTAAGTGGAAAAACGACACAAGTTCCCTAATACCTACTCATGTCTTAGCTCACTATTAATCAGATAGTTTCTTCCTTGTAAGGGCCTACTGGAAGTGGAAAAACGACACAAGTCCCCCAATACCTACTTGACAACTATGCCAAAGACAGGCGATATTGTAACATTCTTGTAACCCAACCTCGCAGAATAGCTGCCACTAGTATTGCCAAAAGAGTGTGTCAAGAGCGTAAATGTACACTTGGAAGCTTGGTGGGTTACCAAGTGGCTCGCGATAAGTGTGTTAGTGAAGATACAAGGATTGTTTATGTTACGACTGGAGTTTTACTACAAAAGCTGATTGCTACGAAGAATATGAATCAGTATACCCATATTGTTATTGATGAGGTAAACAAAACTACAAACAAAGCAATTCCAATATTGTGTAAACTTTATATATATTTTTTTCCTTTTCTTTTTCCCATTATTTCTTCCATTTCTTTATTTCGAATACTTCCACACCTTTCATCTGTTTCATTTTCCTTCTTCCCTTTTTTTTCATTTCCTTGCTCTTCTTTTTATTTTCTTTCCATTTTTCTTTTCCATTTTTTTCTTCAATTTTCCATTCCATTTTTTCTCCTCTTATTTTTCTCTTCAATTTTTCCCTTCCATGTTTCTTCCATTTTTCCCTTCCATTTTTTCTTCCCTTTTTCTCTGCCATTTGTCACTTCCATTGCCATTAATTCTATTTATTATCTTCATGTAATGTATAGGTACATGAAAGAGATCAAGATACAGACTTCTGTCTTCTTGTTGTCCGTAAACTTCTTCGATCCAATTCAAGACATGTGAAGGTACAGTATTTTGCTTTGCAACCACAGTATAAYATTTGTGAATGCAACTTTCAGCCATTTACGAATACCCCACTATGTTCATTGATTACAGACTCCTTTTTTCCCAGATTTAGCCTCATTTCATTATAAAAAATTCACAAATGCCAATGTGTACAGTAAAGTAAAGAATGCACAACTACAATACAAACGCTGAAATTCCACGAACCTTGAACTCATGAATATTTTACACGAAATTAAGTCTAACTCTGAGTAGCACAGAATTTGAAACTTGAGTGTTTGATTTTGAAATGAGTAGCACAGGCTTGTAGCCACTGGCTATCAAGTGCTACCCAAGGATTTCTTGGCTATCCTTTTAAGCTTTACCAGGAATGAACTTGTGTCAGATTTGAATTGCATGTGATATATTATAGAGAGGCAAGAAAGAATACTTTTTATCTTTATTGTAGATAATTTTGATGTCTGCAACACTACAAAGTAACCTCTTCTCGTGGTACTTCTCCATGCCTGTGAGGGGCAAAATGGAAGGTGCACCAGTTATTGGTGTTGAAGGAAAGATATTCCCAATCCAGGAATTATACTTGGATGACATGACTTCAATTGGACAGGTAATTACATGTATTTTGCTACCATCATCATCATTATCATTGTGATAAATCATCAATTATTAGCATCATCATCACATCAGTGTCAACATTATGAATTACATTATCTTCAATCAGCATTATTACTATTATTATTATCATCATCATGATTATTATCACTATTATCATCATAGTCATCATCCTCACATCAAAATCATAATTATGAATCATCAGTAGCATCAACTATTATCCATGACTTGATCATTGATAAATTGTCAGCACTCATCATCATAAACAATCATTGCCATCCTCAATTATTTTCAGAATCACAATAAATACAGTAGTAAGGTCATCATCGGCTTACGATAGTTTCGCCTAGGAATTGGTTCACCTACTCTAGGTAAACCAATGCGTAGGCAAAACAATTGAATACCCTATCATCATGTCTTTTAAAACTGTTGTTGTTTGTTTATTTTAGTTACCAAATGTCTCCCTGGAAGACCCAGGAATAAGTGATGAAGCTTATGAGTTAGCCGCACGATTGATAACATCATTAGACTTTGAGGAAAAAAAGAGGCTGGGGTAAGGAACATGTAAATGCCCTTCTAGGTTACCACTGTGACCACTGTAGAAAACTATAAGCAAGGGTGGCATAGCGGTGAGAGCTCGGTGTCATATGTGAGTAGAGTTGTTTGTTAGTTCTCTCCTGTGCTTTGAGGGTTTTTCGGGTTCTCCGGCTTTCCACCCTCCGCAAAAATCAACTCCTAAATTCCCATTGGAATGACAGTGGATGAAGAGCTACTCTGTAGAAATGCCACTGCTAAATCCCATTTATTTTATATTTTTTGTTTATTTTATTTTATTTAAAAACGAGGAACATCAGACATTGTAACAGTAATGTCTTTAACCAGGCATTTTCAAAGAAAGCATTTGTTTTATTGCAGAGTTGATGGAGATGAACAGTCTTGTGCTGATCGTGGTACAGTTCTTATCTTTCTTCCTGGTGAGTTTGTGATATCCCCAAAACATTTTGAGTCTCGATCTTATTGTTCAGCCATGGTAGTGTGACATACCCAGGACCGGTCTCCATTAGTATCAAGCCATGGAGGTTATTAGACTAACACCTTGATGGCTGCAAAGAAGATTCAGTGAGTTCAGTTCAGGAAGCTCAGTTATTTATTAATTAGGTCTCCAAATTAGAAGTACCTGGAAATGTAAAGAGAAAGTTTTTGAATTCAAGCAATCCACTACCCATTGCATCAACAATATATCCTTTTAGCTTTAGCATAATGTCTTCCTGTATCAGAAATACGACTCAAACAAAGAACCTGTTTCTCAAGAGAATGTCACTTGGTCTGAATTTGGAAAACATTACACCTGAGCTAAAGAGGTCTTTTCTTTAACCAAACCGTACATATTAAAATAAATTCAAATGTACTGACTTTATTGAAAGGAAAAAAGGTATTATAACTCAGTGGTTGTTCAAAATAGGTATACTAGAGATAAAGAGGATGGACCAAACTCTTGAAGATCTGTGTGTCAATTCAAAGTAAGTACAACATTAATTTATTTTGTTGCTTTAGATCATCCAAATTTTATTTTATTATTTCAGACAGAAACACAATATTGTGATAAGGCTATTCTAATGTGTAGTTCATAAAAGAAAGAAAACAATTGCTTGCTGTGCTGTGTTCACTTATAAAACACTTGGTAATTAGCAGTGTTTATGAATTGTGCTTCTCCTAACACTTCTTTCATGTTCTGAAATCTTGGTGTGCTTTATAACTGCATACAGCACACACATTTTCTATTTTTTCAATATTTTAATATATATAGACCTATTATCAATTATGGTTTTCCTCTTTTTTCTAGTCTTCTGTGTCTTCCTCTTCATTCTCAAATCACCATAGAAGAGCAGTCAAGAGTCTTCATCAAACCAGATAGAGGAGTAAGAAAGGTAATAAGCAAACTTAGAGATAGCTTACTAGATTGGGCAATGTTCCATGCACTTGTAAAAATGTGTTTGGGAAGGGGGAGGGGGGGGGGGTTACAAAAATATCGGGGTTAGTAATTTACATTGGACTATTATTTTTACCATCAAGCAGGGAGTAACAATGATTCTAAAATGAAGTTATGCTCTGGCTGCGATAAGTCCTATCACAAGCAGTAATCATTAGCTAAACTGAAAAATATGTTAATGCTAACATGACTCAATGATTCACATAATTTGATGCTAAGTTTTACTTGTTTTAAGATTATCTTGTCAACGAACATAGCAGAGAGTTCAATCACTGTTCCAGATATAAAGTATGGTAAGTAAGGCTAGTTAGTCTTGTAAGTATTAGTAGCAGTCATCCATCCATCCATCCATCTATCCATTCATATCCATCCATCCATTTATTCATATCCATCCATTTATTCATCCATCCATCCATTCATATCCATCCATTTATTCATACGTCCATCCATTTATTCATATCCATCCATTTATTCATCCATCCATCCATTCATATCCATCCATTTATTCATACGTCTATCCATTCATATCCATCCATCCATCCATTCATATAGATCCATTTATTCATACATCCATCCATTCATATACATCCATCCATCCATTCACATCCATCCATTTATTCAAACATCCATCCGTTCATATCCATCCATCCATCCATTCATATCCATCCATCCATTCATATCCATCCATTTATTTATTCATTCATAGCTTTCTCCTATAATCTAATAATAATGACTTAATTATCAAGGGTAAACATACATTACTGGTAGCGCAGTAGGTTCCATATGTGAATGGACTATGAATGGAAGGAAAGGCTGCATGTACTGCATGATCAATAGTAATTGCCTGTCCTTTTTTTATTTACCAGTAATTGATTTTTGTCTGGTCAAGTGTCTGATCTGTGATCCTGAGACAAACTTCCAGAGTCTCAGAACACAATGGGCTGCAAAGTCAAGCTGTATCCAGAGAAAAGGTATGTTTTTATTTCCATGTTTAAGGCAGGTGGAGACATTTATCATTTTTCACTAAGCAGGAAAATAGTGTTTCATGAAATCTTAACTTTACTACATTGTGTATATTACAATAACTATAAAATCACATCCTGCAGAATTATTGACAAAATTAGACATACAGTACCTTTGCTTAAGATTATAGTCCAACAAATGATTATAGTAACAGTTGCTTTATTTTGTCTACAGGTCGAGCTGGTCGTGTTTCTGCTGGGACATGCTACAGAATGGTTTCCAATGAGTTCTATGAGACTTGCCTTACTGAATTTGGAATCCCAGAAATGCAGGTTTGTGTATTTGTAATAAAGACATTCTACCATTTTACCCTTTTTTCTCATCATCTCACCAGCCTAGGTGACATACAGGGCTAAGATCAGTGCTTCCCATCTCTTTCTGTCTTTCATCAGTAGTTTAATCTCTTCCAACACCTATTTCTTATGTCTTTTGGTCATTTTCCCATCTTTTACCCGCCCGTTTTTGAGAGTCTACCTCTCACACTTTTCTCTACCTCTAGTTATTATGAACGATTTCCATTAATTTTATTTTTCATTTGATTCTCAGAGATGTCCATTGGAGCAGATTGTTCTGCAAGTCAAATTGTTGGACCTGGGTGAACCAAGAGCCATCCTGAGGCTAGCACTTCAACCGCCTGACCTTGATGATATTGAAAGAACAGTTCTCTTACTTAAACAGGTATAAAGAAAATGTGTTAAATTATATACAGTCATCATGGTTATCATCTTCACCAATGGTAACAACAGCACCACTATCATCATTGTCAAGATACTTTGAATTAGATATTTTCAATTTCAATACACTGAAACAGCCGCCAGGCTGATCAAAGTCAGGGCACAGCTAACTAAAGGATTAAACTAGAGTTTTGTATGTTAGGTTTGAAATATTGAGGGAGGAAAACTGGAGACCTTGGAGAAAAACCCTTGAATCAAGGGAGAGACCTTAAAGCCTTTACTTACTTGTTTGAGAGTCTAGGATATTGCCACCAACATATTATCAAATTACTGTAATGCAAAGTGTCCAGGTAAATTGGTACTGTAATGTACTGTAATATTGTAAGTGTCTGGATAGACTATGTAATACATTGCACGTTAAATCACTAGGTCGGTGCACTGACCACCAAGATGAGGAATGGATACATCAATCCACACGATGGCGACCTGACATTCATTGGTCGAGTACTTGGGACTCTCCCAGTTGATGTTAGAATTGGGAAACTCATGGTCTTGGGATATGTTTTTGGGTGTCTGGAAGAGTGCATAGTCATAGGTATGTAATCAAGCACATAAAATATGAATGGCTGATCTGTATGGTCATTTGCATAGGAGAGCCATTGTAAAAACCATTAAGATCCAACATGAATATTGTATATTACTAGGAGTGTCTAGCTTTGTAAATTCATTTTCCACTACACTTTTGAGATTGGACTAAGTTTGACTGCAAATATCCAACTTTGAAAAACGTGAATTTATGAAAACGATTCTGTACCCAGTTTCTAAACTTCTTCGTAGTGATAACTTCTGTTGTGTTTTTTCTTCATAAACATACAAGTTTTTTTTATTAATGTCATGTATATATATTGCGACAAAACAAATGCCATTTTACTGTGAACATTTCAGGAGCATCACTTTCCCTCAAGTCCTTCTTCTCAAGACAGTTCAAAGAAGAACTTAAAACATACAGGTTTGTTCAGAAGCCTCAGCTCCTTGTTTTGGGAGACACGCTAATAGGGACCATTATTAGAAAGTTAACCAAATATTTAAAAGAAAATTCAAATTATATTGATACCCTGAAATAACCTCAGGACTGATCTAAGTCAGGGCACAGTGACAAGTCACAGATCAAATTAGAATTAAGCATGTTATGGTTATTTGTGGAGGGCAAAAGACTGGAGATCATAACCCAGAAAAAAACCCTTTGATTAAGGTAGAGACCTAACAAACAGCTCTACTCACGTGATGTGGAGTCCAGGATTTGCACCTGAGACCCCAGAGGTGAGAGGCTAGTGTACTCCCCAGGGGGGGGGGGTACTCCACCAGAATTTGGGTAGGGGTGTTCCGCTGGGATTCTGAAAGGGGTACCCTGTTTATGACAAAAAAAATCGTATTTGTAGACCCTGTTTATGACAAAAGATATAATTAATTGCACTGAGTTCCTGTTTCAATTATCATGTCATCTCACATATCATTTTTTTACGACCATGGTAACCAGTTTCAGTCAATACGAAAGTAGAAATCATGAATATGACAAGAAACTCAGGAAGAATTTGGACCTTGAGTGAAATTGCATACCCTGTTTATGACAAGAAGCTCGAAAAACCATACCCTGTTCAGCGGATCATCCCCGTATAGTTCATATATGGGAGTCCCCCCCCCCCCCCCCGGGTGTACTCCCTATACACCACCCTTGAATCCCAATCTTTTTTAACTCATTCCTCTCATAATTAAATTAATTATAAAACTCATAATTATAGGAACAAGATGAACTGGGATAATTCAACATTCAGTGATTGTCTTTGCTCTCTTTCTGCCTACACAGTAAGTAAAACATACTTCACCATAATAGGCCATTTGTACTAACAGATCACATGACCCTACCCCCTTTAAAATCAGTACTTGTGTCAAAATAAACGCTAAGAATGAAAAGAGCATGGAACGGAGCATGCAACAAGAAGGCAAAGCTTCAGCTTGTAACATGTGATGCAGGAGAAATGGCATTAAAAATGTGAATTGAATATTTTATGAGGATTTGTATGAGGACATGTGGTGATCACATGACCTGCAAGTGTGGGTTACAGTAGAGGACCTTGGTTATTATGGGTAAGTTACTTATTTGTTTTTAAAACTGAATGCTGTTTTCCTTTATTTTCCTTTGCAGGAGTGGAGCAAACTAAAAGAATCCAGAAGCTTTGGGGTTTGTGCTTACAATAACGTGTTATAATGAATTGTTATTAGCTATCAATTCATTGACAAGAAAAATTGTATGACCATGTCCTGTGTATGATACCCTTATGACCCTCTCTCTCCCCCTTCCTTCCCCTCCCCTACACGCACACACACACACACACACACACACACACACACACACACACACACACACACACCATTATTTACTAAAAGTACTTTGAATTCCATGTTTAGGGCAATAGAGAAACACGGTGGTGTAGAGAAAATGGTATTCAAGTAGGGAGAATCAGAGAGGTGACTATAGAGATAATGCATTGGGGTCCTGGTTTAGATGAATGATACCTAGATGGAAATGATGCTGGATGACAATATCTGTTCAGAACCCTAGGATTTTGTAACTTTTAATAGGACCAAAAAAACTAGTACCATGAATCCTTCCTTTCCATTGTCTTTACCACTAAAGATCTATTAGTGATAGTCCACTTGCATAAGTGGCATCTGCACCTTGCTACTAAAACATTAAAATTGAACCTGTTTCCCTGTTGGACTTGGTACTAAATGCCCCATTTTAAGTGCAATATCTTTTCTTTCCAGGTTCATGAATTGGTGAATGAATTAACAGAAAGACTAAAGCACCTCAATGTCAGGTCTGAAAGATCTGTCCACAAAAAGTATGTATTCATCTTTTTATTTAATAATTTTGAACTTTCATCTTATTGTCAGGATGCACTGTAGATAAATCCATGCTGTGACTACAGAAGTTGAATGTGCTGCTTTTAACACATGATGTTTTGTGGTGCATAATGCACTATGGGAAAAAAATTTTTTTCAAAATTGTTTTCTCTGATGCATTGAATTAGATGATGGGAATGCTATTGTTAGTCACTATAAAAGCGTATTATTTTTGTCTTGTAGGAGAAATAAAACCCCCGAAGACATTCTTATCCTCAAGGTGAGGATAGGTTTTGAAACAATGAGGTGCAATGTTTACCTGCTCAACAGCTGGGGAGAGGAAGGGAAGAAATGAGGGGGAGGGGAGAGGAGAGGAAGCGAGACTAGAGGACACCAGATGAGAGGAGAGGAGACGAGAGAAGTCAGGAGGAGAGCAGAGGAGACAAGAGCAGAGCAGAAGAGAGGAGAGGAAGCGAGACTAGAGGACACCAGATGAGAGGAGAGGAGAGAAGTCGAGAGGAGAGCAGAGAGGAGACAAGACAAGCCTCTGGAGACAACAGATTTCTGATCGTTGCTCTTATTTTTTCATCTTATTACAGCTGGTAATTGCAGGTGCTTTTTATCCCAACTACTTTCTGTCTGGAGACATTGATGAAGCTGAAGCCACAAAGCTCATGTCTGGACATGACTCATTCACTACCGTCATGGTCAGTACCCCTGCTTACCCCTGCTACACCCCTACACCACCCCCCTGATTCCAACTTTAACATGTACAACTAGGACTACTCGTGAGCTTAGAACGTTCAACATAAAATATCTGCCAGCTATTCAGATTAGTGGTATAAACCTCGCTAAGATTGATTTCATTCATTCATTAAAGGTAAGAGGAATGCCCCAATACGGTGCACAGTACAAGGCAGCTATCGCCAGGATGTTCCGAGACTGCGGCAAGGGAAAAGCATTGTACTTTGAGGAAACCAGGTAAGTAAACACTCCTTCACACCAACAAAATGTAGTCCCTTTTGGACTATAGACTGTTGATCACATGCAATCAGCAAAAGCCCCATTATTAGCTTTTAATGCTCTTAATGTACATGATTCATTTGTTAGAGTTCAGCGCCTGAACTGTGACTAGAAATTTATATATTTAAACCTGATAAAAGCAACACATTTTGTTGTTCTTTTGGCAGTTTATATTTTCGTCTATCGTATTGATTTCTTCGTTCGTTTGTTCTTTCGTTTGCTCATTCATTCGTCTTTCGTTATTTCATTCGTTCGTTCATTCATTCATTTATTCTTATTTTTTCATTTTTAGAGCATACATTGAATTTGACAAGTCTTCTACAGCTCATTCTGCCAGAGGTTCGACAATCTTACCTGCTGTTTACCTTGCTGTCAAGATGAGGTAAGAAGCACGATCAACTATAGCCGTGATTCTTCTCATTCTCTCACCCTCCCCCATC